AAAAAAAAACACAAATTCTTGATAACCGGATGTTCGAAAGTCTTGTTACAATCGAAACAGCTATCTATACGTGTAAATGGTAATTGAGTATTCATTTATTATTTTGCATCTATAATTTGTACAATATTCCAATTTATATTATTGTAGCTTCGAATATTCTATATTATCATAACTTCGCAATATGAACTCAACCTATTATTTCTCTGGAATTTTATTCCCAATCGAAAAATATCCTATATCTAAGAAAAAAAATAAAAAAATATTAATATAAGACCAAACGTAAATTGATTTATAAGTATAAAAAAAAAGCTAAATATAAACGTACCTTAAATTTCATTTTTGATAAAATAAAAACATATTTAAAATGGTTTACTTAAAAAAATAAACAAATATTAAGTAAAAGTTGAAGGTGATGATTAAGATAAATTTAATTAAATGAATATTTGAAACACAACCAGGTCCATCGAAAATAAGAAGAAAAAGAAATAGTATTTGAATGGTAGGAAGGAGAAAGGAGGGGTGGTCCAACTTCCCACGTGTTACTTTTGAACTCCCTCCCCTCTCTTCGTCCATCTTGGAATCAATTTTAGTTTAAATTCCATCCTTTTCCCTCAATTTACTTCATATTCGTTAATTCATGGATGCCAATGCAACTATTTCTCATTAAATCACTAAATTCTCCATAATTTATTAGAATAAATTCCCCCCCTTTTTTATGTCACGACCCGATTTTCGAGGGTTCGAAAACCAGACCGTGAACCAAAAGAAACGAAATCGAAAACAAACAAAAAGAAAGTAGAAGAAAAGAAAAACCAAAGTAAAAATATAAAAATACTTTGAATTAAAAACAAAAGAGAGAAATTTCGTTTGTTAATTATTACAAAAGAAATTGCAAATATAAAATGAAATACAAAAGACTCTAAAAGACCGAAAAGGGACTGACGCTCCGGAACGACCCCCTCTGTGACTGTACAACTCTCAAACGCTCCTCTACCTCGACCAGCAGCCAGTGAACACCTGAGAAAAATAAAGGAGAACGGGATGAGTATAAAAATTATACTCAGTAAGCCACCTACTTGTAGGCTCTCTTCGCATCTTAATTTAACAGAACTCCCACGGTTCCCTAATTCGGTTCTAGGACATTGGGTTCTAACCCTAGTCTATTGGGGCTTGCCCCTTGGGTTTCACCGGTTCATCGTCCTTTCATTAGTCACCTAGAGGTTCCTTATGCCCAGCTAATATGGTCGGTATCTCTCTATGAGGCGCTACCTCTACATGGCTATCTAGAACTACATGGTACCTAGCCTAGGGGTGTGCTGAATACCCCTACGCCCATATAGT